CATTGCAGCCTTCGAAAAGGAAAAAAATGGGAGAGGGAGGTTTAATTAATTTATTTTTTTTCCCCTTTAAAACAACAAAAAAAATCGACCTCCAGCACCCCAAGCCGAGCCCTGGCACAGTCTCGCCGCCTGGGAGGGCAGCCCAGGAGCGCAGCAAAGCTCGGGCCTCCCTCCAGAGATGAGCCAGGCTGCTAAAAGGTGAAGGCTGGCAGAGAGCAGGCGATTGCCAAGCAGGGGTTCATCCAGCACGGATGGGAAAGGCAGGAGCGAGTTCTCTGCCGTTCTCCGGGGATTGAGGGGCTGCGGTTGCTCAGTCGGAGCTGGGGACAGGAATTAGGGCAGGCACAGGCGCAATGGCTGCAGCCCTCCCCGATTATCCAGCCCACTAGAAAGGCACTTGCTTGGTTTTGTTTCAGCTGAGGGTTTTTTCCTTTGTTTGTTTGGGGTGTTTTTTTCCCCTCCTGTAGGTGTATTTTTTGCTTAAGTAGGTGAAAATATTACTGTGGTTACAGCTCAGGTTTAAACGCTTTTCTCTCGCATTTTTTTTCCCACTCCCCCGTTCACCAGTTTGCCCAGGAGTTAAGAGGTGATCAGGTGTTTGAACCGTTCCAGCTTTTTGCTAAAGCAGCCTGGCAAGCGATCCCCAGCCTCCCCCCGCAGCCCTCGCCTGCCAGCCCTTACAGCCCCTACAGGTGCAAGGCGGCGGGGGGCAAAGCCAGGACACTCGGTCCTTTTCTGGGACGCGGGGAACAGCGCATGTTCCCTTGGCCACAAGACAAGGCAAGACAAGAACAATCATGCCTGGGTAAGAATAGAATAGAATAGAATAGAATAGAATAGAATAGAATAGAATAGAATAGAATAGAATAGAATAGAATAGAATAGAATAGAATAGAATAGAAAAGAAAAGAATAGAATAGAATAGAATAGAATAGAATAGAATAGAATAGAATAGAATAGAATAGAATAGAATAGAATAGAATAGAATAGAATAGAATAGAATAGAATAGAATAGAATAGAATAGAAAAGAAAGAAAGAAAGAAAGAAAGAAAGAAAGAAAGAAAGAAAGAAAGAAAGAAAAAAAGAAAGAAAGAAAGAAAGAAAGAAAGAAAGAAAGAAAGAAAGAAAGAAAGAAAGAAAGAAAGAAATTCATCGACCATTGCACTCAGAGTTTAAAAATAACCTCTGAAAGGGGCAGAAAGGGGAACAACCCATACCTTGCACACTGAAGAGCTCTTATAGAATTAACAGGGTGAAGGAGGGGAGGGAGTTTGTTTGCTTGCTCGTTTTCCCCGAAAAAAAAAAGATGCCGAGGTGCCTGCGGGAAAAGCCTCGCTTGCCGGTTGCCCCTGGGGAGCTGAGCCGGACGGACACAGGTTTGCTATCGTTCCTGCTTCCCGTGCGGGAAATCCCGGGAGTGCAATGCAGGTTTTTGAGCAGCAAACAGCTACTTGCGCCCCGTCTCCCCCAGGACGCTCTGTAGCGGGGGTGGGAGTTCGACAATTAGGAGCCCGAAACGGGAGACTGTCGCCCGGGAGGTGTCCTAGGGGCAGCAGCAGGGATGGGAAGGGGTACGGCTACCAGACCCCTCCCCACCCGCTCGGTTGTTTCTCCCCCGGTTTGACACAGTTTTATCATTAGCCTCAACGGAGGGCTAACTGGGGGATGTGCTAATTACCGAGAGATTATCCATTAGTAACTCAGCGTCATGCGAAGGTAACTCGAGTCCATTAATGAGCTGGAAATCGCCCCCTTATTAGGGAGTTTCAGCTTTTTCTTCCGAAGGGTAAGGAAAAACTGGTCCGCTTCTCTCCCACCGTCCTTCGACGGGCG